TGCGGAAAGGAATTTACATAAGTCACATTTGACTTGTTTTCTAATCCACGAAATATATCAAAGAGATTGTATATGCTTACTGTATATATTTATGTTGTAGAATAGAAATAAAATATTGTTTAAACTAATGAATAAATTCAAGCAAACCCCAGGTCCATAACTACACATGCTGACCACTATTCGAATCCAGGTCAAATATTTTTGAGCTACGCATGAGACAAATTGAAAAATGCAAGTGTTTACCGAAAGGGCATTCACTCTAAAAAGTCAGAATTATTCAATACGTGGCCGAGTGGTTAAGGTCGTTGACTTCAAATCACTTGCCCCTCATCGCTTTGGTTCGAATCCCGACAGGGATTTGGGATTCTTTAATGTGAGAAAGCTATCCAGCTAGCTTATGGCACGTCGGTGGTTCTACTTAGGTGCCCGTTCGTGCCTGAAATAATGCACGGAAGGGCAACGGAGGTCTTCCTCCACCAGTAAAGCTGGTTAAAATTTAAATTAAAGTTGAATGTGTGCAACCGTTACTAAAATAATGAACGGAAACTGATGATGACGGAATGACAGAAGGACGGAAGGACGGAATGACGGAACAGGGTAACGCTATATGCCCCAGCCATTATATGACGGGGGCATAAAAATACTGGGGGAAAGTGGTGTTACTTACCGTAGAAGACAAAAACAAGAAGGGGCACAAAAGTGTCATCACAATCGCATGTAACAATAAACAAGACATATATCTGAGGAGCACAGAAGGCCTTGGAACGATCAGCAGCAATAGCACTGCTTGAGAGTTTAAACACCAAACTGTTCTTATAGCCCAACATGTTTCTTTTAAAAGAGAACAGTGTAAATAAAATGAATATCAGCCTAGCAAAATTCCAACAGTTGTTATGGTTACAAAAGGTGAAATAAGTAAAACACAGAAATGATCGTGTAGATACAAATAACAAATAAAGCCAAAAGTATGAAAATTTAGTCCCGATTGGTATTAAAAACTTGCCACCATAGTGTCTCCCACTTGGTACGTCAGATGTAATCCAAATTGTAAAAGGGTTAAACACTAAGTATGCAGTATGTCTTAAAATAGTAAGCCACAATGTCTTTTAATAAAACATTTAATTATTTTAGTAAAGACAGCAGAAAAGTAACCATGGCCCAAGATATTAAAAAGTTTGTAAAGCACATCCCCATTAAAATCAGGCTTGCTAATCTGTAGTCGCACAAGAATTTCAAATCGCTATTAAATTTTGAAATTAAATCAAAATTACAATAAAATATTCCTGTGTGTTCTTACAGTTCTAAGTTCTTTGTTGCTCTGTCTTCCTTTAAGACAATGAGTACTTTTGTAATGTTCATTGGGTTTTCTTTTATATGTTTCTACATGATCATTTTGGTGTTTTACTTATTTCACCTTTTGTAACCATAACAACAATAGGAACATGGTAGGACTAAGAATGAGGTTTGGTGCACTATTAACCGGTTTAAACTCCTCTGTAGTACTTATGCTGCTGCTGACCGTTCCGAGGCAATGTTCAAAGTACTTGAATGATACATTGTTTTATATGTTCACGTTTGGAATATATTAGGGATATTCAATCTTCAAGTTTCATTTTCTTTAGCTTGCCACTATCCTGTTGTTAAATTTTCATCATCGGTGACTTTAAATAAGAATATAATGAGTTACATTCTTATTACATTACATTTGTATTATATAGTCTTTAAATTAATATTACATAGCATTACATTACATTTATATTGCATATTTATATTGCATACACTTTACATTGCATTAATATTACATACCCTTTACATAACATTTTTATAACATAGTTTTTACTTTGCATTTTATTACACATCTTTTACATTTCATTACTATCATCTTGCATTACCATCATTTTGCAGGATGTTTGCAAGAAAAAAACTGCATTTTATAGTTTTTGCTTAAGGTCATCAAAAAAATCAAATCTTTAAACAAGCAAAGCAAATGCAGCAAAATGTTTATATTTTCCACTTTCGTAATAGTCAAGCAGTCATTTTACTTAGGTTTTGTTTTAATATTTTTAAATATGTTTGTTTCATTTCTATTTCCTAAAACGAACTACTTTAAACATCATTATTACTTTATAAATAAAAAAATGAAGAACTGGGTTAATTAAATATGGTTTTTCGAAATCAAAATGGACGTCATCTAAAAATTTGAAAAACGCTCTAAAAATGTTAACAAAACAAGTTTGGTAATATAATCAACGTGTTTTCAATCCGTCTTATATCCGCTTAATCAATTATATCACACCATCATAAAACATCCAAATACACACGGATCTAGTTTTCTCTTTTTTTACTAAAGTTTGCACCAATGTCAAACCATGCTTTGTATCCTTAATAAGTTTAATGTGTAACATCCGGGTATTGTCATAAGAAAGAATAATAAAACCGTTCACTTGTCCTTACTTCAAACCTGCATTGATGCGCGTGAACATACGACAATAAAATGCTTGCATGGTTTGAAAGCGCTGTAATTCTGCCATACAATTTCGTGTATTTTTATTATTTTAGTTGTGTGATCTGACTACAAATTTAACTTTTCTTACATCTAACAAATCTGTGGTAAATTTGTGTCCAAAGAGCTATGTATAATTTAAAATATCTTTTAAATGATTGCATGAAGTATTTGTGAATTCAAACAATTGTACGTTTTAAGTGTATAAAGCTACATTTCTGCTGCACACAAATTATAATAATTTTAAAAGAATAATTCCAAAATGTTTGAATAAAAGAAAGGGTGGTGTATTACATCAGAGACGCATGGCACATACACGAAATCGTTGCTAAATGGTTTAAATTACCCTACTTAAAACAACAATTTAATATTTAACGTTTAATTGTCTGGACGAATGTTAGCCAAAAGAGACATTTTATGTTAAGGCTATTATTGGAATCGACCATACAATTATGGAAACATTATAAATTAATTGTAAATAACAGTTTTTTTTTAATGTATTTCATAAGTTAAAGCTTTAAACCATTAGCTGTATCATAAATAGTGTGCGCTTTATACGTATATCTACGGTATATGGGCGATCGTGTTACCCTACTACTATAAATATGTGTTTAAATATTGTTTGTCACGTCCGATGTTTTGTAAAAGTTTCATTGAAATTAAAATATATTTTAGCTCGACTATTAGGAGAATAATAAGTAAGACTATTTCTATTCCCCTGAGCGTCGGAGTCTTACTTTGATTAATGTTTTAAAAGTAATTTCTTGCACAACATTACATCTAATCAACCAGTAAAGGTATTTGCTTGTAACTTGACAAACGTCTTTGAGATGATTATAGGAGGTCACTATCTAAGGTTCATATTACTCATAACTATATTACTCATGTTGACTGAGTTATGGCCAATTGTAAAACCTTTCTTGATAATATTTTGTATGCATAATTAATCTTCAATACGCCCAAGGATACTTCCTAGAAACTTGACATATGTCTTTTTGATTAGGCAAATAAAACGTTAAGAAATCAGTATTATGATAAATTACGCTAGAATGCTTCCCCAACATCCCATAATTTTCTTTAATTTCCTTGTAGATTTTTATGATTTCCTGTTTTGAATAATTTATAATTTCATCCCGTCCGTGGTTTGCACGTGTTTTTTGTTCTATTTGATGTGCTGATGGGCTCCTTGCCGGTCGACCTGTGTTGGGGGATGTGTTCATTGAATGCTACTTTTCCTTGTTGATTTTGTTTTTCATATCTTATTTTAGCACTAACTTTTTATGTTATTTGAAACCTAAAATGAACATTGTGGTCATTTTGGATCTATAATCATTTTAAATTTCCGATAGATTTTAATTTTTCATTTAATAATTATATGTCTTATAAGAAATAAAAGTATGGAGTTACAAAATGTTTCTCGACCCATTAACCCATATCGATGAAAATAAAAGATATGGGATATGCCTTAAAGCATTTCATGTGTAAAAGCGAAGTATGCACCTCATTTTTAAATCAATAAAAGAGCACTTTTTTTCCTTTGCAAATTTAACATGTATTTAGAAAACATATAAATAAAATAATCAACTGTTCTTAAAACCAAGAAATACTTGTTACAATAAAAAATCAAAATATAGCTTTCATTACTTGACATATAATTTTAAAGCCCCATGTTATTTAAAACAACATGATATATGTACAATTGGTTAGTTTCATTTAGAGTGAAATTATGTTTGTTTCCTAAATTTGACTTAGAAACTAAGATATTTGCAGATGGACATTGACCTACAAATGACAGAGTGAATATCGGTTTAAAAATAGCAGAAAACTGCTTTTAGTAAAAGCTTAAAAATATCGTCTGCCTATAATGCAAGTAGGGTTATAAATTTATTCATTTGAAATTTAGCAAAAACTATGAAAAGTTTTATTTGTTTTTGGTGCTGATCAGAAGTATAAGGATATTTTGTTTCTAATAGTTAATCATTAGAGAGACACAGCACAGACTGACTGCAATCGAAAGTGCAAATGTGATTAAACATTTTTATGCACACCTTAATATAGATATACAGTTATTATTAGACTTCGGTTTTTGGGAATACGGAGTGGAAGTTACTTCTTAAGAAAATCGAAGTTGAAAAATTGCAAAAAAATGCTTTTACGTAATTTCAATTATGGTTCCGCTCAAATGAATTATTTTTAAATGTCTTGGACGAAATTTATAATTGTTGTTTATTTATCGTACATAATTTTTAAACATGTCACTTTAAGTCATTTTTTACTTAACCAGGCAATGTGAAATTTATTACCTTGCTAACTATCTAAAAATTTAGAGCACTAATGTGCATCAACTGCCGCGATTTCGTTTTTTAACATTGTGAGGGAAAATTGAAAGTTTATGCTAAATGGGTGCTTAAACTAATTTCCGACTGGAGACAATTCTTCTCAAACTAAGTTCCGCATATAGACCTAACTATTAGGCGAGCAGTGTAAATCACGACAGTATTACTTGTGGTGAACAAATACACCGGGATATTTAAATAACCAATGAATCACATACCTTACAACTAAGAACAAACATACAAAATTTGTTCTAGAAGAAACACATAGTGACATGGCTAGGAATTATATTGAATTAGTTCTCATAGTAGTTTTTATAATGATGTCTCAGCAGATCGTGTCAGGAAACGAAGAAACAAGCGGCGAAGACATAATAAAAATGCGGAAACATGAGTTTTCAGCACTTTGTCCGTATACAGACACTTGCTATACAAATGCATCAGCAAAAGAGGAGAATCTGGATTTTGGTATCAAATGTTGTGATGCGTGTAAATGTGATCATCAGTGTGGATTAAACTGTTGTCCAGACATGTCAGTTTATTTCAAAAACACAGAGGATTTGTTTAAATCTAAACAGGTACAATGTGTTGATGCACAATATAGACCATATAGTAAAGCTGTAGTAAATGGACAGTCTTTTGAAATGATTTCAAAATGTCCATTCACATTTAAAGATTACGAAATCGCTGCGAAATGCGCACGCGAATACCATGATGTGATATTTGATGGACCATTAGGACGTTTTCTTCCTGTTCTTGACCGCCATTCCGGTTTGATTTATAAAAATAGTTTCTGTGCAAGTTGCCATTATATTAATTCAAGTTATTTATCAAATGGACGTTTAAAGTATTTATGTAAAAAAATCTCTAGAAACATTACATACATTCGCGACTTTATAACTATTCCAGATACTGAAAATGAAGACGGCTGCAACTTGGTGTTTGACATTCCAGAAGGAACGGACGGATACCCCTGGATATCTAAAATATGTAATAGAAATATAATAGATCGCTGTAACGTAACAGGTCGATGGCTGTCTTACAACAGAAATATGGAAGAGGCATGTTTGTCATATAGATCCATTTATGATGGCCTGTTCAGGAATGTACATTGTTTTTTATGCAATGGTTTTGAGCTTAATGATGTAACAAAATCGTGTGCAACAAGTTTTATATTTTGATCACAACGGGGATGAAACAAGTTTTCTCACACTTCTCAACTGGAACAAAGTTAAAGCTAAAAACGTAAAAGGGAAAGATAATCAGGGTTCAAACAGCAAATGTTTTCGGGACAAGATCTTCAAGGTATATATGTATTCATTGACATGTATCTTCTTGTGATTATATTATTCATATATATGAAAACGAATAAACTGCTTTGGTTTCAATATTTGTAATATTTGTGGCATTTTAAAAGTTGTATAAACTTTTGATTAAATCCTTAAACTTATTATTGTATCATACTAGAAGTAGCCCAGATGAAAGATTTCCGTAAATTTGTTAAAGAAGGTATATTCCGATCACTGTTAAGCACACTGTTCGTTTCCAAACTTTTATCTATTTTAAAAGTTTTATTAGTGCATGACGACGAAAACAGAAATATCTCGAATTTTTTCGAAACAGGCGAAGTTATTAATGACATAAATACTATTCTTAATTCACATTGTTCAGTTTTGTATTGACTTGTTAGTTATACATTAACCTTATCAGTATGTATTGTAATAATGTAGCAAAAATAATAGCAACTGTAACTCTATCTTTAAACTGTAACACTTGTGAATGTGTCAATGATATTATTATTCCGTTGTTCATTTTCTAACCACAGAGAGACGAATGGACTCTATTTTGTACACAAGGCATGGCTGAAATAGATCAAATGTGCTTACCTCCATTTAATGAAACACCGTCTACAATAATGCTGGCTATGAACATCATACTGGAACCAATGAATGGAGTAAAACGGAAAGATTTTTACACACTGTATGATATAATTTTTACCATTTATGATAAAACTAAGCACAAAATGACAATGCTTATCTCGAAAGACGCAATGATACACAATATCAAGGGGTCTTTACATTTCAAGACAGACCACGAGATAACAAACTTTGATACATCAACTGCTTTTAAATTGCAAAACTTACAAAATGTCAAGGTGCATATTCAATTTCTTATTAATTATTCAGAAAACGAATTACTTACAACAATACTTGACTTTGCTCTTGGGTTTACAAATATCTCAAATTACAGCAATATTTTTAAAGCTAAGTTTAATAACTTCTCTCATTTAGATGAAAATGAACGTCTTTCAAATGGAAGTTGTTCGAATAACCTAAATAGGCCTCTTTTTCAGATATGTGTTTCTCAGTCTAACAAAGAAAACACTTTTCATTTTGAATTGCTTTGGAACAGACAGAAACTTTCCTTTGACTCGTTTACGCTGATTGTACTAGAACCAGAACCGTTTTGTCCGAGAGTGGCTCTGCCTAAACAAGTATTTGTTTCTTGCAACATATCGCAATTATTTTCAAATCTATACACTAAAGATTTTTTGTCCAAAACACTTTCCGAAAATGAAACGCATTTATTCTTTTGTCATGAAGACTACTTTAAACATTTAAGTAGTTTACAATCGGAAGAAAACAATTTTCAAGAGAAAGAAGGCTATTATACTTCTGGAAAAGCCTTAGCTGTCTTGACCATTGCTTGTTTAATTGTATCAATAATATCACTAGGTTTTACACTTGTTGTATATGCTGTTTATCCAGTGCTACGCTCTTTACCTGGATTAATAAATATGGCATTAATTACAAGCCTAATCGTCTTCCAGTTAGTATCATTTGTTCGCACGGTTGCAAATATTAACATAAGCTGGCTTTGTACTTTAATCGGAATTTTCACCCACTTTTCATTTATTTTGTCTTTTGCATGGATGTTTGTTTGTACGTTTCATATGTTTAAGGTGTTTGTTTATATCAGAAACCGTTCAGTTGACAGGAATGAATGCCGAAAATTTGCATCTTATTGTATTTTTACATCTAGTGTTGCAGTTTCTCTGGTGGTCATTACAATTGTCATATCCGTCGTGAGATCTGATGGCGAAGACACAGGCTATGAGGGCATAATCTGTTATTTAAAGGACTCTACACTTATACTTTATCTAGTTGCTCTTCCAATTGCTCTTGTGATTCTCTTTAACATTGTTATGTTTTGTGTTGTAGTTTACAAAATACAAAAACACCCAATTTTGGCTTCCTCAAATCCAAAAGAACGTCAAAATATTACAGTATTTGCCAAATTATCAACAATAACTGGAATGACTTGGATATTTGGGTTCATTTATACTTTTACTCAGATAGAAACGTTTGCATTTATATACGTCATACTGAATGCTGGACAAGGATTATTCATAATGCTTTCATTCGTTTGCAACCGTCGTGTTTTTGATAAGATATGCAAGCAAAAATTAAGGAGATCGACCACAAGACAGGCAACTCGTACCACTGATGTGTAACTGAGATTTCATTCGTGTTTTTAGTAAAGATTCGTCAAAAGTTATAATGTTCAATTTTTCGAAAATGATTTCATTTTAATGAGTGTTGAAATAAAAAGTTATCTATTGGTATTTTATATATTTATAAATCTTAGTGTTGATTCTTCTTCACATATTTTTGCTACAGTTTAAATATTTATGTTTTAAAATATTAGTTATCTAAAATCAACAGATTTACGATATTTCAATAGCTGACAAATTGATAACTTGTTGAACAACTTGTTTAAATATGTATGCATGTAACTGTTTAAATGTAGGATTGCTATCAATAAGCGTGCAATAAGGCGAGGTGGCAGCTATTATAGATATACGCTCGGCTTTTAACCAGTTTATCTTCTTTATAAGCTGCATTTGCTTAGTTTAGCATCTAGATTTTTTTTAGTTTGTTACGATGTTTATAAAATTATATACCAACAATGAATATCATATTGCATACACTTTAGGCTGTGGTGTTAATGTTTTAATAAATATGACATAACGAATAGAAGTATTCTATATTTGGGGTTCCCCACCAATTTTGAATAAAACTTTGACCCAGCATTTTTGTATATTGTGTGGAATGATATGTATATTTGATGAATGTTTATATAAACAATGTGATATGATTAAAAAATAATACACAAAAAATGGGCACTAGCCGTTGAAATATACTATGTAGCATGTAATCGAAAGAAATGACTTTTAAATTGTGATAAAGCTTTAAAATTGAGTGCTAGTTTTGTAATATCCTGAAGCATAAGTTAAGTTTGTATGCACTTTATATGCATCCTTGTTATTGTGGAAACTTACATTCAACCATTTGATTTGTTAAGCTATGAATATGAAACACGTGTCATGCACATGTGTAAGTATCTGTGACATTGTTTTAGCAAAAGCGAAGATTTTGTTAAGACCCGCTCGTCGACGTCGGCGTTTGCGTTCGTTAACATTTTGATAAAGTTATTGTTTATCGCTTTAATACTAGTAAAGCTATTTCATTGAAAATAGGAAGCACCTTGATATGGTAAAACTATCATGATTTCCATTTATATTCTATTGACGTTATGTTTGAAAATATTATTGTATTATAGATTATGTAAACAGATACAAATCTAAATAAAGTATCTGTTCTGTTGTTAATTGTGTACGAGATGTCACCCCGTCTTCGGTACGAAATTTAGTCCGCCTTAGTCTAGTAAAAAATCGTTCTCAATACATTTGAAGTGACCAATTTGAAGTATAAGTATAGTACCTGATCATTTTTAATGTTGTGTAATGGTCAGGACAAGAACTGTCCGCTTGCAAACTAGACATTGTAAATTGAATAGTTATAATTGTTACAAAAGAAATTGAACTTTCTCAGTAGGGATTGCTGACTCAAAAATGCTTTTTAAATTAATTTCTTGAGGACACATTTATCATTAAACAATAATTGGAGGATTTATATTGATAAGAGTTAAAGGTTTGTTCTTATTGTTAAAGTGCATTGGTCTATAATGGAAGGTATGTAGTGTTGATGGTTTTTAGTATGAAACATAACAACAAACCACGAAAGAATTATATATGGATGCTGTTGACAACTGTGAGGTACATAATCCGATATTACTTAAATTTATATGGCATATGATAAAATGTTCTAAAACAAAATATTAATTTTTCTATCATATAAATGTTCATACTAAATTACTTTACTGAACTTAATCAACATTTTTTTCAAGAAATGTTTCAGAAAAATATCCAAATGATACATTTCCCTTGTTATTTTTATCAATATTTGAAATTCTAATTGAAAATATGCCAATTGTATAACAATGCACTTTAAGTTGAGAACGAATTAATCATGGTATTCATTATTGTGGTGAAATATTGTATTTTAATGTGATTCACTTTAAGTATCAATGCACCTTATGTGATTTTAAGTGATTAAATGCAGATGTGAATTAGGACGACGAATTTTAATTTACCACTAAGTGGTATCTCCCCTCTGGTACGAAGGTAAAATTGTCCAGGTGAATTAGTCTTGTCCGCATTATAACCCATTTCTGGGCATACTCCTTGTGAACCCGTTATACAGTTGCCAATGTTTGAACTAACGTCACTGATATTCGCACATCAGTGTCTGAAGAAAGGACAGACAGTGTTTATGGACTCAGTGAATAATTGTGTACATCGATCATGTCCACATGACAAAACTTACATTTTTTCATCTAAATTGATTAAAAAGAACTACGATCAATATTTTGGAAGTAGGTTTTAAGCTTACAGTAAATTCTACGGGAGCATTCTGTTGTGCCAAATTATAAGTAGGACTTTGGTACAAATAATTGATAGTTATAAAATCTAATTAGGACATTATGACGTCTGTCTAAGACATGCTGACACTAATAAGGTCACATGGCGACTGACAAGCTTTAGTGATGCAGGAAAACCTCGGTCATAATGAGGACTTCGAGGTTATAAAGGTCATATATATTGACTCTTCTTATTAACTTATTTATCATAAATGCACGGTACGATAAAATGCCTCTACTAATTACAGTCTGCACTATATGGTACAAGTGTTAACATAATAATATGTGAAAAACTACTTCAATATTATTATTAAGAGTTAGGTTAGTAAGTAGATCTACTGACATATTTATATGAAGGGCACATTACTGTTAACCATTGTAAATTACATAAAGCATAATAAAAGTCGTAATACAAAATGTATAATGAACAGAAATTTGTAAAAGGGCGTATAGCAATACCTTTTGTTAAAGGTCTTATATAATTTAACACTTGTTTATTACTTATTTAACCCACAAGGTGTTTAATACAATCAAATAGATATGGAAACGTGAGAAAAACAACGTAACTTAGAGGAATATATGCATTTTTGATTGACTTTTGAATGTATTGTCATGAATCCTCAATTTTTTTATCTTATTTGTATAAATTCCGACTAAAGTTAAAACCCTCTATTAAGACCACCATCGGGACTTGACCGGAGTATTCTTAATTTCTGGGTGGTCTTAATTGTGGCTCTTCTTATCATTGCTTACATGCTTTATGACCATGGTCTTTTTTTAGTCATTTTGTATGAACAAACAATAAGTATCTTAACCTACAAATACAATAAAAAAAAGTATATAATAATATATAATCTGATGAGAGCAAATCATATTTCTGTAGAAATCTTATATTAGATTCTCTTTGTTCTGATTTCAATATTAAGTATTATATGATGTAAATAATTCCCATATAATAGAAATAGAATACTGAAAGCAATATTAAACCACAGTAACTTTTCAATTTACTTTCACGCCATATTTCATGCAATTATCCAATATTAACAGTTTTTGGCACCTTGTTAAATCAAGTATCATACCTACGAGCATTCAAGCAGATAAAAGCAACAAATTTGTGAACTAGCTAGGTGTTGTCTTTAACAACAGTAGCCTCAATAATGATTTCAAATAAAGAATAAAACAAAGAATTGGGGCTGAATCTGGTGGTCTTAAAAGTGGATAAGCGGGTTGTCTTAATTCTGGATCATGTAACGAATGACATATAGAATAGAATATTCCGTTCTTTTAAAATAGGTCTTAATAGCGGGGTGGTCTGATTTCTTGGGATGGTCTTAAGTAGGGATTCTACTGTATTTTGTTGTTTTCTTTAACTATTATTATTTTTTAAAATGTTCACAATTTTTGTTGTTGTTGTTTTGTTGTTTTTGTTTTGTTTTTTTTTGTTTAGTTCGTTTAACCCATTACTGCATGAGAATTTTGTGAAAAGTCTCCCGTTACAAGTTCAAATTACTAAAACTATAAAACTGCTTCAATACTTATCAAACCTGGCACAAATGTTGACTGGACCATTGCCTTTGTAACAACATGCTCAGTCTTATATTTCCTGTTACCGTAGCAACGAGGGGACATCTCAAAATTGCCAAAAATCACTATTTTGCGTTGATTTTTTTCATCAAAATTGATTTCAAAGTGCTGCAATTTCTTAATTCATTGAGATAGAGTCAAAGGCTTTTCATCTTTGGTCACACGTTACCTTATGATCGACATGGGGTCATTTTTAGCCTCTCACAAGTCCAACATTTTCTTGGCAATGAGGGGGACAGCCGCCCCCTTCAACCCCCCCCCCAAACAAAAGGTGGCACATCCCCCTTCTGGCAACCCCCTGATATATCTTTTGGATAGGGGCGGCGCCAAAAAAGTGGTCACTTTTTTAAACAACATTTCTGAAACAAAAACAAGTGTTGGGGCCTTAATAATACATTTTTTTACCATTTGAGACACCAAATAAGGGGTGTGGTGAAAAAGGCTTTAAAAGGCGTGTATATTGGGTAATGGGCTAAAACAATTTTTCATATTTAATATTGACATTACATTTAACACATATTTTGGAATGGCAGAAAAAAATACTTGAAGAGAACGCACATCTAGTCACACTTCTGTTATACTGTCATTTTTAAAGTAATGCACGTGCTGCCTGATGATTCAAGTTACACAATTAAAACATGAGCGAAATTATACTGTTGGAAGGAAAAATATTTAACCAGTCATTTAAACATTGTCTAAATCTTAATCTTAGAGAAATACTTGAAAGAGTACGTACTTATTCACATTAGATCAAAATTACGTAAATGATTAACATTATTAAGTATTTGTCTCCTCGCTGTATAAACAATAAGTCTCCTAAAATTCCCCTTTCATTTTACTTTAAGTGACTGCTTGATATTATTAGATCTATAATGGAAGTGATGTCACGAAAATGCATTTCATTGGTATTTCACTGTTTGTTCGAATATCGGCGACAATTTAAAGGAAAGTCATTGAAGTACTTGCACGTGATTTCTCTCCGGGAAATTAAGTTTTGGTTGCGTAGTGTTTTTTAACTTATTAAAGTACATTAAAGCATGTACTGTTAAACTTGTGAAAGTTCAATTTATATTTTATTTTACACTTACTATGTTTTTTCCTGTACAGGATTTTCGGAAACGTTAGTAACATATGCAAGAAATCTTATTTTGTACAAAGGATTTCCATTCGTATCTCACATATAGATGACAGTAAGGATGTTAAGAAGAATTAAATAAATTTATGTGATATTCAAAATAAACCAAATAAAAATTGTGCAAAATCTTTAAAATATTTCTGAAAAAGTTTAGGTGTTAACCATGTTTGCTTATGAGTGAAGGTTACGAAAAGATATTTACTAATTTAATTAAACGGATGTCAGAAGATACGTTGTTCTTTGTTGTGTTTAATTCTTATTCATTTTTTTATTCAAAAACACAAACCAAAATAATTACCAAGAAATGAAAGAAAATGTTACGTATGCAATATTCTCGACGTCGAATTTCAGTTTAAAACTTGAGTTTAGAGTATGTAAAAACTTAAAACTAAATACTACAATGGCAAATATTTTTGGAAATACCCTAACATATTTAAAGTTAATGTACTTGTCATACAGCAAATGTATCAATTGTGAGAAAATTTACCGAGGCTGGTAATTATATAGAAATGTTAAATGTTTAGGTTTATCCTTAAATAAGAATATGTCTATCATAAATATTGACTAGAATGCATTTTTCTATTTTGTGGGGTTTTAATTGTGCTACCAAATAAATGAAGAAAAAAACAAAAAGAGAAAAAAATCAGCGATCAGGACACAAACGAATTCACATAAAGGATAATAACTGATGTAATTTTACAAAGAATCTTTCAGCATTTACCTCCCTTAATCAGTAATGCTAAATGAATAAGTAACGTATGTAGCATTATTGTACTTATCTTTCTAAATGAACTAAATTAAGACAGTGTAAGAGTATTCTAGTCCAAAATGTATCTAGGTATTACAATTACGTTGTACGTTGGAAAACAGACAAAGCCACATCTTTGTGTTTTGTCTGAGAAAATAAAAAAATAAATATTCAATGAATATGTACAAAGTCATTCATACATGTACATGGCTCATATTTTCATACAAAATAAGAATTGATCTAGGTGAGGAACGAATGTTATATACGTTTTCTACAATAACAATTATAACAATGCATACAAAAAACATACAAAATTAACTTACACATGAGCCTGTTATAAAATTTTCTCTCAATTAGTTCTTTCTTTCTACATTGTATATCACATCAGCCTTTGCATACACATTCTACGCAAAATACAATATTTTTGGGTGAATAGTTATCGAGTACAAACAAATGTCTGTTCATATTAGTCTTATGAAGTACAAAATGACAACACACGCGACCATATATAAATAATATACATCCATTGTTTGTTTACATCAACAGCAAAACATATTTTTGAATTTCTGAAAAGTCTATAATTTCAACTAAACATATAAAGATCTTGAAATACAACACACATAAAAACAAGATATACATATATATACACCCAAACATTTCATATATCAGTATTCTTTTTAAATAAACAGATATAATCATAGCAACGTGGTAATGATCATAGTAAAGTTATGTCGTATGTTCATCATATTTTTCCATGGTTAATTACTACTATGATTTTCTAAGCAAATACAGTTGACAAAGATTTCAACGACTTGTTTGGTTTTAAGCCTAGTGTATCTACACAAAGATCAAATCATCATTTTTTCTGAAATTCTCGGTGATGCAAATGCCTGTTCTAGTACATATGAAACGTACATATACGAGGGTGCATCAATAAATTCGTAAACTAATTCAATAGCGTCAAAACTACTGGTCCGTTTAAAATGAAACTTTAAATGCTGTGAAAACAGATTATTTCAAATTGAATCGTACTATGTACACAACTTTGACGTCATCACTTATGACGTCATAAACCGTAAATGACGTCACGTTACGGGCGTCTGTTCGAAAATGGCGTCACACAGCGTCAACGAACAGTGCATCGTTATAAAGTTTTACACAAAACTCGGAAAGTCTTTTTCCGATATTCGTGAAGATTTGCAAAACGTTTATGGAGAGGCTGCTCTGTCAAAAGGGTCCATTGCAAAGTGAATGAAGCGGTTTAAAGACAGTAGAGAGGCAACTGAAGACGACAGTCGTGCAGGTAGACCAGTGACTGTAACAGATGAAGAAACAGTGGCTGCCATTCAGGAGTACATACTCCGAGATAGACGATTAAGTGTGGAGCACGTAGCAGATAAGTTCGCTATTTCATATGGTACAGCTCAGGGCATTATAAGTGATAGATGGGGAATGCGCCGCGTTTCAACAAGATGGGTGCATCGTTTATTGACGTCAGAGAAGATGGGGGTAAGGGTGAAAATGTGTCAGCAGTACGACAGGAGGTTTCGTGAAGAAGGCGATTAATTTCTAAATCGAGTGATAACATGTGGTCAAACGTGTATTCACTTTTTTGAACTAGATACGTCAGAGTATTGTCTAGAACCATCCTTCCTCGCCTTCCCCTACAAAAGCGATAATTTCCAAGTCAGCCGGGAAGTTTATGGCCATTATATTCTGTGATACATGCGGTGTAGTGCTAAACCACTTTGTTCCTCCGAAAACGACAGTCACTTGGAACTATTATGCAACATTACTTAAAACGGAACTCATGTCGGCAATAAGGACAAAGTAACCACATCTACTTAGGTCCGGATTCATATTACATCACGACAACGCGTCGAGCCATTCAAGCCACGTTGCCATGGATACACTAGAAAAACCCAACGTCGAACTGTTACCGCAACCATCCTACAGCCCGGACCTAGCAATTTATGACTTCTGGCTGTTTCCAATTTAAAAAAAAGAACAGTCTTCGTGGTACGAATTGAGTCAAGATAGGAACTGAGGTGTGCCGTGGGCAGACAGCTGCGGGAGATTTCAAGTGACAGGCTACAACACGTGTTCGAGTAATGGGTCGAGAGATGGGACAAGTGCACATCATGCATAGAACGTTACTTTGAGAAGGAGTAATCATTTTAGGTACTTGAATTAAATCATTTCCCCGCTATTGAATTAGTTTAAGTTTACGAATTTATTGATGCACCCTCGTATATTTTATTTAAGCAATTGGTACATCAATTTCCATTGTCAGTTATTTAAATAATTCTGATGATTCTATTCAAATATGTTTTAAAGCCTTTACGTATTTGAATTGTACCAGTCATAAGTTGGTTGATAAAAGGAAAGAATCAAATAAATTTCAACAAAACTAAAGGTTTCTTATCTATTAAATAAATATTAGTTTTTATTTCATCACCAGAGTTAAGTACATGGATGTAAAGCACAATCTTTAAGTTCAGAATGTTTAAACAAATAACACGGAGGAAATCTCTTTTAGACATCAGTGGTACCAGTTGTCTGTCTTGTCGTTGACCTCCTTAATTTTCTTTTGCATACCATATCAAGAACACGTCCGTTGCAAACAAATGAAAGCATTATGAATAATCCTTGTCCAGCATTCAGTATGATGAATATAAATGCAAACGTTTCTATCTGAGTAAAAGTATAAATGAACCCAAATATCCAAGTCATTCCAGTTATTGTTGATAATTTGGCAAATACTGTGATATTTTGACGTTCTTTGGGATTGGATGAAGCCAACATTGGGTGTTTTTGTATTTTATAAACCACAACACAGAACATTGCAATGTTCATAAGAATCACAAGAGCAATGGGAAGAGCAACTAGACAAAGTATTAGTGTAGAGTCCTTAATATAACAGATTATGCCCCCATAGCCTGTGTCTTCGCCATCAGATCTTACGACGGATATTACAATTGTAATGACCACCAGAGAAACTGCAACACTAGATGTAAATAAACAATAAGAAATAAATTTTCGGAATTCATTCCTGTCGACTGAACGGTTCCTGATATAAACAAATACCTTAAACATATGAAACGTACAAACAAACATCCATGCAAAAGACAAAATAAATGAAAAGTGGGTGAAAGCTCCGATTAAAGTACAAAGCCAGCTTATGTTAATATTTGCAACAGTGCGAACAAATGATACTAACTGGAAGACGATTAGGCTTGTAACTAATGCCATATTTATTAATCCAGGTAAAGAGCGTAGCACTGGATAAACAGCATATACAACAAGTGTAAAACCTAGTGATATTATCGATAAAATTAAACAAGCAATGGTCAAGACAGCTAAAGCTTGTCCAGAACTATAAAAGCCATCGTTTTCTCCAAAGATGTCTATTTCTGATCGTAGACTACTTAGATGTTTAAAGTAGTCTTCATGACAAAAAAGCAGATGTGTTTCATTTTCAGAAAGTGTTTTGGACACAAAATCTTGTGTGTAGAGTTTTGATATAAACTGCGACTCGTTGCAAGAAATGTAAGTTTGTTTTGACAGAACAACTCTTGGACAAAACGGTTCTGGTTCAAGAACGATTAATCTAAATGAGGTAAAAGATAATTCCTGTCGGTAACGAATCAATTCAAAATGTAAATCTTTTTCTCCCACATCAGATTGAGCCACACATATCTGATAATGAGGCCTATTTAGATCCATCGAGCAACTATTATTTGAAATTTGTTCGTTTACATCCAAATGGGATATGTGATTGAACTTAGATTTAAATGCACCATTGTAGTTTGAGATATTCGTAAAACCAAGCGCAAAGTCAAGTATTGTAATAAGTAATTCGTTTTTTGGATCGTCAATGAGAAATTTTGTTTGTACAGTGATACTTTTAAGATTTTGCCATTTAAAAGCATGTCCTTCATCAAAATTTGTTTTCTCGCCGTCTGCTTTGAATTGTAAAGCTCCTTTGATAGAGTGGATCGTTGTGTCCCTCGAGAGTAGCGTTGCCATTTTAAGTTTCGTTTCGTCATAAATGGTAGATATTATGTCATTCAACGTAAAATAGTCTCCGTTCAGTAGACCATTCATTGGTTCCAGAATGATGTTAATTGCAATCATTATTGTATACGGTGTTTCATTAAAGGGAGGTAAGCACATTTTATCTATTTCCATCATTCCTTGTGTACAAAGTAGAGGCCATTCGTCTCTCTGTATATGGAAAATTAAACCATTAAATAATTAATAAACTTATTGTTATAACCATTTAGGTTAAATACATGTACATTCAATTACATAGGATTCTAGTATTCTGTTTGCTACATTGCTTTATACAAAATATGTTGTATAATTATACATTTTTAAAATATATTTCTTCACAACATTATATCATGAGAGACTCTGGCGAGCAAAATATTACTTTATTGGACGAGTTAAATAAATTTAGGAATCAAGTTCCGCGAACATAATATACAATTTACCACATATCCTAATTAAGGTAGACCATGGGTAATGGGCACCATAAGGAACTGTAAAATTGACAACATAGGACAGTTATATGTCTTCAAGGTCACCTGTATGCAAAATTTAAATAAAATTTACCGTGTGGTTTATGAGTTATGGATATATTTCTTAACTATGACTTTGCCATTAGAAGGGCTTATTTTCAGAAATGAGGAAACTGTAAATAATCTGTAATATCATCATTATAAAAAATGTTTTTCTATTGCTCATTGTTAAGAAACAAATAATAACATTCAGGTAACGCATTACACAAGCAAAATGTTTGTTTCTAAACAAAATGTTCTTTATATGTATGAAAATGATACCCTACCCCACCCACTTTTAACACTAATTTTACCATTTCCCTATCTCAAATGCCTTATGTAAAATATCCCTAAAATTTATCGAAATGAAGGACTGTTCTCAAAGTTTACCTAAATTTTGTTAAAGGTATATTAGTTGATCATGCAAAATATAAAATACTTTTACCGTGTAGTTTTTATTTTATCGAACTTTGAAAATATCTGGTATCATATTTGCTATAAATTTTGGCATTTTTTAGCAAAAAAAAATACCTAAAATAATTATATAATTTAAATCAAACTTTTTTTCTTCCATAAGGGATCAGAGAGATACATAAATAATGTTAAAAAGAAAAAAAGAAAGAAAAAAAAGTTGCCACTTCTGGGGTTTGAACCCACGCCCCTCAATTTCAATGTAGTTTACAAGCGATTCTAGCCTATTTGAATACTCTTCAAAGTGGAGGTAATGCATTACCCATGGTCTACCTTAAGAAATGTTTACGGTAACAATTGACAACCTTTTTATTAACGCGCCTATAATGTAACGCTAACATTTAGCGCTTCTTTAAACAATATTAATATCACGCAAATGATTCATGGCTGTGAATTGCACAATAGCTGCACGGGTATAAAAAAAAATAAAAATAAAGGTATAAAAACATAAATGATTTATATGATATATTTGATTTACCTTTAAGGGGTCAAAGATTTTGTCCCGGAGACATTTGTCATTTGAGCCCTGATTATGTTTTATGTCTTCTAGGTATTCTTTTTCGTCTTCGACTTTGTTCCAATTGAGAAGTGAGAGAAAACTATACTTTGTATCGCCGTCGCCTATTTGCTATATCTGAATAATAAATTGGGGGGCATGTTTAACCTCATTTCGTATCAAAAACCACCCCCCCCCCCCCCCCCCCCCCCCCCCCCCCCCCCCCTTTGATAAAAAAATGTACATTTCCTGAACGGCCTCATAAATGGATTTAATAAGACGAAACATGCCTCTTCCATATCTGTTGTAGACGCCATCGAACCTGTTACGTTACAACGATCTATTATATTTCTATTACATATTTTAGATATCCAGGGGTATCCGTCCGTTCCTTCTGGAATGTCAAACACCAAGTTGCAGCCGTCTTCATTTTCAGTATCTGGAATAGTTATAAAGTCGCGTATGTATGTTATGTTTCTAGAGAAATGGTTACATAAATACTTTACCGGTCCATGCGATAAATAACTTGAATTTACAAAATGACACCTGGCACAGAAACTATTTTTGTAAATCAAGCCAGAAAGATGGTCAAGAACAGGAAGAAAGAGTCCAAATGATTCATCAAATGGCACATCGTGGTATTCGCGTGCACATTTCGCTGCAATTTTGTCATCTTTAACTGTGGATGGACATCTTGAAATCATTTCAAAAGAATGTCCATTTACTACAGCCACACTATATGGTCTATATTGTGCATCAACACATTGTACTTCTTTAGTTTTAGACAAATCTTTTTTGTTCTTGAGATACATGTCTGGACAACAGTCTAATCCACACTGAGGATCACATCTACACGCATCACAACATCCGTTCATTCCAAGAAACATCAGCTCCTCTTGTGATGAAACATTTGTATAGCAGGTGTCTGTGTACGGACAAAGCTTTGAAAACTCACGCATCCTAATTTTTATTATGTCTTCGTCGCTTGCTTCTTTGTTGCTTGATACGCTCTGTTGAAAATTTATAATAAAAACTAACGTAACAAGCAACATAAAATCCCCAGCCATGGCAATATCTGATTATACTAAAATATATTGTTCCAGCTTGTTTTATAGTCGAATAGCATGTAATCCATCGGCGTTTTATCCCTCAGCAGAATGTTTAACAAGAGATACCGACGTGACTTACACTCCTCGCCTAAGTAACATGCATACACGCACCCCTTAGCTAACTTATTTTAAAAACGATCTCTGTAATTTTTACAAACGCTTTTGCACAATCGAAATTAGTTTTAGCACTATTTCAGCGTGAAGTTATATTTTGTCTCAGAATATTAAAAATGAAATCACAGAAAGCTTCCGAAAAAATTATAATAGGGCCTTAAATTTCATACTTTCTGTTAAACAATTGATTAACAAATTGTATAAATAAAATTAACTGAATGTTTGGTTCCATCGCCATAGTTCTACCCGTAGAAATAGCTATTTCTACATATTTTGACATATTACCGGCAATTCGTAGCATGATAATTTACTTTTTATAATTTATTCTATTAAGTCATTAAAATAACTAAAATCTACAGTCGTGTTACTTTAAATATCATACTTCAATTTATATTTTATTTTATTTATATTGAGTAATCTAATATTTTGAAAACTGACATTTAGAAAAACTCCTATCATATATAATATTTCAAGTGAATAGGACATAAGTAAAATTGCTTAAGACAAGAGAAAATGGTTTAATTGGACCTGTTATGGAGTTGTGTATTCGAGCTTCTGTTCACACATTCTAGCGCCGTCTTTTAGTATAATTTTACTTTTTCACAAAGGATCATTTTTCTTTGCATATTGATGCATAATCAAACTAGAAAATTTTGAATGGAAATATCAGTCGAGCTAAAGTTCAGAAGCAAAAAAGCAACAACAAAAACAAGCAAAGGTCGTGCGTCAATTATTCTCTTTGCCTATAGCAAAAAAACGGACGTTATAACGTTTTGCCGCCAAATATACTTGTACATAGTCAATTTAATATGCCATTATTTAGCAATTATCTCAATGAATATAGTAATCAGAATCAGATTGGTCCCTAGTTGAATATGTGTTCCTGTTGGGACAAAAAAGCAACAGAACATTTCTAAATGTCATCAGGTCGTTCCTTCTTCTTAACAAAAAACGTAATAAGAACTATAAACATGCGACTTTTTTTAAAAGCGTATTGTACATGTATAATGACTCATATGTTTAATATAACTTTAAAAGTGCAAGTCAATAAATGTGCCGTCCATTAAATATATGCTTCCAAATTATACCAATTACTTATACGTAGGGTGTTATTATGTACATATGTATATCGCTTTATTTGATACTCGTGACATTTGGATTTTGCAATTAAATACAAAGTCGTTTAGAGGACAATTGAAAGTAAAAAAAGGTCAATCTCTAAGGTTTGTTACTTTGCATATTTCAGGGATACTTTAATGGGAAAACCACGCCAATAGAATTTGACATCCTGGATTGAGTTACTAATTTGTGTTCACTGTTCTCAATCGAGAGTAATTATTGTTTGAAATTGACCGGTGCAGCTTATCGTTAGGTTGCTAATCATGTATTCATTCACATACGTGATGGCTGGTTTGAATTATTGTTAATTTTCATTATTTTTAAACCATTTTGTATAAATTATACAGAGGAAATTGTTTTGTTATTTAAATGTTTTATCATATTAATAGTAACATAGCTATATACATGACATATTGTATATTTATTCGTACATCGGATATAATTAGACCAATCAAATGTATTAACTTTTTTTCTTGTATACATTGTATGAAATATATTACATTAATTAAATACGTCAACAGGGGAGAGCAAACATAAAAAATATATTTATGTATAAATACAAGGTTTAGTAGTATCTCAGAATAAAAATTAATATAATTATAAAGATGTAATGTACATATTCATGGCAAAAGCATAAAGTAAATTGCCAATCATTATGAATCATAATAGAATAAATTATATTTACTTGGAAATAAAAAAAAACTACATCTAAAGGTATGAGAGCAATGCATGTATCTGTAGATATTTATACAGTAATAACAATTGGTTAATGGGTTTTGACATTCATATGTTTGTCATTTACCAAGCCCTATATTAAGCGTTTAACGTCTGTAACCTTTCAATATTGAGTTCACATTAATTATAAATACAGGAAAATATCGGTTTATATTATGCCTGTCTGAGATGATTGGGAAAAAAGCCCATGTTCGGAATACAAAAATTTTAATAATAATATTTAAAATCATTTTTTAAGAATCAAGCAAGAAAAAAACAAAAGTTTAAACATAGCCAAATAGGCTGCTCAGACGTCTTAAAAAATCGTAAATATAATTAAAATGCATTACTATGTCCACAAATATTTATAAAATGTTAACAAAAGGAACATCTCATAATGTTTTTCATGCACCATCATCTGAATGAATAAATATGTTTACATTTTCTATATATTTGTTTACTTTTATACTGATATGTTTACACAGTGACAAGTGTACGTATATCGTATAAAAATGTTCATGGGGCATAAATAGATACCCTTGTTATTTTTTTAACAAACATCATGCTTTGAAAGCATATTAAACATTTTGTTAAAATTTATATGGAAGGTGTTTTTACCCAATAAAGATGTAACAGTATGTCTTTAATCGACTGAACTGAAGGTTTAAAGGCATTGGTTATGCTTTTTACAAATACATTAAAGTTATATTTCAAATATATTGACATTCATCTTGTAAACTGGTAACATTTTGACATTAATGATCACAGACACTGTAAAACACAGAAATGTTGACGCACTATCCTAACTTTGACTTCTTTGCACAGAATTTGTGCTTAGTTTCATGTAAATATTTTAAAAAATAAAGAACTTATTGCTGCGCTCCGCAAGGCTATGTTTGCAATGAATTCCATATTTTTTAAAATCTGAACAATAAATATTACGAATAGATCTAATCATGCGAACTTAAGAAGGGAGGCAACGTTTAATTCAGTGTTGGACTAAAATGTGCAGTTTGTAGGTAATGGTCTCTCTTTAACTGGTCCCAACAAAATTCAATCGTAACAGTTCAGAACACAATAGTAAGAATACACAGAATGAATAGTATTTCGGCCTTTCCTTCATGAGCATATTGTGAAAATTGGCCGTTTTCATTGAAAAGTTCAAACTGCTATATTGGAACTATGAAAAATGATTCAATACTGATGAAACTTGGCTAAAATGTTGACTGGACCATAGCCTCTGTAACAATATGCTCAATCTTAAATTTCCTGTAATTTTGGCAACGGGGGACGTCTCAAAATTGCCAAAAATCACTATTTTGCATTGTTTTTTTTCCATCAAAACTGATTTCAAAGTGCTGCAACTTCTCAATGGATTGAGATAGAGTAAAAGGCTTTTCAGCGTTGGTTACACGTTACCTTACGATCGACCTGAGGCCATTTTTAGCCCGTCACATGTCCAAAATTTTCTTGGCGATGAGGGGGTGGGGGCTGCCGCCCCGCCCCCCTTCAAACCGCCCAAACAGAAGGGGGCACATCATATCCCCCTTCTGGCAACACATTGATATATCATCTTAATGGGGGCGGCGCCGAAAAAGTGATCACTATTTTTAACAATATTTCTCAAACGAAAAACATTGTTGAATTTCTAAATAGGGCATTTATTCACTGTTTGAGGCCTCAAAAAAAGGGGGGGGGGTGAAAAGTCGTCAAAACACGTCTACATGAGGTAAACACGCCGTAAAGGGTTAACAAAAATGATGAAAACCCTTGGAATTACCCAAAATCTAGTTTTCCATGTTAACACGTCGCCTTTCACCTAATTTTGGTGAAAAAAATGTGTGGCATTTTTTATTTTTTTCATTGGCAGAGTAAATTTTGATATGTGGGTCATGATTAATATTACTTTGGTAGAAATCTACAAATTAATGCTACATGCCAAATATCTAAGCTCTGGGCTTTTTAGTTTCATACAATAATACTAAAATGTGTCTTGTTATATAAGTTTATATAAATCAAGTGACTCCGGGGCGAACCAATATTGAGCCCAGGGGCATTAGGGTTGCAGAGTTTCACAAGGTTATGATCTTTAGATGATGCTAAATTTCTTAGCTCTTTGCATTGTAATTTCACAATTTTTTTTTAAAAAAATGTGCTTTCTCATCCATTTCATTGGATATATTTCTGAATCAATACCAAGAAAGCACTCAAATGTCCAAGTTTTTTTTACACCATATATTTGTGAAAAGATGAATTAGACCTTTTAAAGTTTATCCCGTTGGGTAAAAAGGCAAGATTTTAGCATTTTAAATATCATTCAAGGTCTCGGCCCAGTGAATTTTCGTACTCTTTGTTCTATAGTAAATCGGTCAAATTTGAGGCTTAATTCTGGATTCCACTGATCTTGTTGAATTATATACAGTCTTCAACTTTAAACATCAACACTATCTTAGTCAAATGATGCCCGAAATATAGTGTGTAAGCCATCTACTTTTTTCAGAAATCTTCATTCTATTGTAACACTGTTTAAATTCACCACTTCAGAAACTCCAGACTAGTGGTGGGTTGTACATCTTTAATCCTTCCGCCAACAAATGAGGTCCTAGAGAAAATACACAAAAAAAACCTTTTCAAGTCACCATATAACACAAAAAACTACACAGATGCCATCAATACACTTTAATTATGACCAATCAAGCTAGAGATTACTTAAATTGGACCACTTTAAAATTAAAAGCTATTTACTAGACTACAACGGGTCCGGTCTAATTCCGTACCGGGTTGAAACCTCTTGAGCGCCGTGTCCGGTATATACCGGAATATGGTCTTTAGTGTGGTGCTCTATTAACAATTTAACGCGGATACCATGAATTTCTTTTTAAAAAAACTGGTTTTATAGGAAACTTTGTTATGGTAAAATTTAATTTATTCATGAACATGTATATCTATCAAATAAATTGACATGTAAACTAATGTTAATAGATGGTTAGTTTTTCGAATTTTTAATGATTCGCCCCACTGACATTTCGCCCATTATTTTTCATGTTTTAACTCCTTTCTTGTTTTAATTTTATTCGGAGAAGATTCTGGAAGTCTAGGAGTCCATTGTTACTGTTTATGTCGAATACCTTGGAATTATGGGTAACGCGGTAATATGAGTCAGTTTTAATTTAATTTTTTAATCAGAAAAATTGTGTATTTTTTCTGATTCACGAATTCGAAAACCTAGCTAAACGCCGTTTTCCGGTACTTTCTGTACATAGCTCTGAGGAATTCACCTAATGGAGTGTAATAGCGAACTCAATGTTTTCGGCCTATTTTTTAAATTAAACTGAAATAAAACAGTTATTTCTTGATAAGAAAATAATTAAATACCATTGTATGAACAATAAAGTAAATACACAAGTTTAGGCAGAAAATAACCTTATTTATTATAGAAGATTCCACTACGTCTGTTTGAATTTTATTGATTTTCATTATAAATAATTTATGTTTTTGAATAATTTGCAATAGATATTAAACGAATATTGATAATTGTCAAAAACATCAATTTTTTTCAACTTACACGGTTAAATAATGATAGAAAAATAGACATATCTCGTAACTGTGTTATGTACTTCATTTGGTGTAATTCCCCTAGAGCTGTCATCGATATCGACAATATCGATGTATCGTTGATATTTTTTTGTCGATCAATAATCGATACACATTTTAAAAAATCGATACTTTTGACTTATAAATTAAATGTCTAGAAATTATACAATTCAGCCAAAATATATGCAGAAACAATTATTTATATCAAATGTGATGCTTTTGTTATATAGTGGAATTATTTCATAGCAATGGTGACAAAAAATATTGTATAGAAAAAATCATGCAGTGGACAAGACACTGTACAGAACATGTTTTTGACTGAAATCATTGAAACAGGTATGAAAATGAATGACAGACAAGTGAGTATAGGATATTATCGATATATCGGTGTATCGTTGATTTTAGTTACTTGATATCGATATATCAGTGATATGCTTTGCACTGAATCAATGACAGCTCTAAATTCCCCAGAGCTAAAACGGTAACGTACCGGAAAACGGTGTTTAGCTAGGTTTTCGAAAAGTCAATGAGTTATAAAACTGATAAAATCATTAAAATCTGATAAAATATGCCATATTTCATTGACTTTTTGTGTCACTTCAATAATAAAAACACTGTTTTTTTAATCATTCATGTTAAACAGTTAAACTATATATTTTTTCTAGAATTACATTTTTACACTAGCTTTCTATCCCAACACTGTGCCGGATCCCTTTGTGTCAAAATGCCTTGTTGTCATCATATCAGTTTGAATACACCGATTGACAGTTCTTTTCAGTAGAATTTGAGTAAAGATAACGGGTTGCGTATCTCACGGTATAAATTGTATGTAAAATAGTCTGACTTGTTGTAAGGTTTAACCATAAATTTAGATAGTAAGATACCTTAAATGTCAAATGTTTTGTTGAAGTATATACTGAAACAAAGCTAAGATCACAAGCTTTTCATTGCCATGGTGTAATAAATTTAAAATCGGACATTAAATTGCCCACACTAGCAGTTTAAAAACAGCTAAATTTGTATTGTTTAAGCATTAGAGATATTGATTTTACTCGAAAATAAGGGAAACAACTCATACTTTTTCACTTGATATACCGCTGTTATTTACGTAGTTCATATACATAAAAATGTAGAGACTGCCAATTGATGTATTCCCATCAAATTGTGACCTAGGGCTACAAGATATACAAAAAGCTTTATTTTAAGTTTGTTTACAAATTACATGAAACTTTTTACAGACAATAACAGAGACATAAAACATACATTGTATTTGTAGCGATTTCGAGTCCCAAGACGTATCAGCCCCAATTTACCCAAGACGTTTCGGCCCCGGACGTTTCGGCCCTTTGCCAAATCGGCCCCATATTTAGTAAAGAGTAAGGCTTACCTCTAAGTGTTTATACCAGAATTTTAATAGCATTTCAATAAATAATTGACTTGTTACACCTTCAAAATAAAAACAACAACAAAATATATCTAAATAGTTAAATAGCTGTTAAATTATAAAAAGAGATCAAAAGATAATGATTTTTGGATATAATTGTAATTAACTTTGTTAATCAAAAAGTTTTCGCAGTTTGTCAGCTGTCTTGTAAATCAAGGATTAAGTGTCTTTATTTATTGTTACACCTTGAAAAAAAAGCATTTATCTAAATAGTAAAATTAAGAGATCGAAAGATCTATAATGGATTATTAATTAAGGATTACTTAAAGTGTCATAATTGTTTGTGTGCCATCAATCAATCAATATACTAAAATTTTTAACGAATTTAAGTATCAAAATTCCTTTGATACTTTAATAAAACTGTAATGAAAAAGGGCCGAAACGTCTCGCGAAAAGGGCCAAAACGTCTAGGGGCTGATTTTTGCACAGGGGCCGATTTGGCTTGGGGCTGAAACGTCCTGTTTGCTTTCTAGCATATAACAAATCTGTAAAGTAAAATACACTAATATACTCTAACTTAGCTAAAGAGAATTCAGCCAACAGGTTTTATAGTACTGCTAACCTGTTTGCACAATGTCAAAATTAAAGTGACATATAAAGTAATGGAAGCCAGAAGTAACTCTAACTCTGTATTATTGGCATTTATCACTCAACTCTATTACCGAAGTACAGATTACTGTACTCTCAGTATTTTGTCATGTGCAGTTATGCATATGTTGAAGTTGAAAATCTTTGACATCATTCAATAAAAAATATAATGATTAGTTGAATTTGTTCTGCTTCACCCAAAAAACAATTATTAAATTCATCAATGAAATTCAATGCAGACATATAATATAGGAAAGTACATTAATAATGCTGCTAGGTTAGGTTAAGTTCCAGGATGTGGCCTAAAAGCTAGTTAGTAATACAAAAGTATATAAATTTATTTTTTAAGATGCATAATTAACTTGTTTTTACAATTGTATATATACATGTACATGTACTTCAAACTTTAAATTACAGGGCTTTCATTGAGTTCAAGATTCAGAAGTCAAAGACTGATAAATTTCTGACATTGGAAGTCATATTATAATTACTACAGTATACATGTGGGTAAAGAAGGAGAATGCATTACATATTTGAAGTAATAAGCCAAATAAGGAAAAATGACTCCAAAACTACCACTTCTTGAAGCCCTGTTTCCTTATTATCCACATTTATTTGTGATAAGATTTTTAACCCTAGCACCAATATTTACAGAATTAACCCCCTTGAACCCCATTGAACTTTTCCACCTTTATTGACATGGTCAGGTGCATATGTAGTGCAAAGAAGTTGAACATAGGGAGTGCTTTCTTGGATTCAGAAATATATCAATATATCTTCTTACAGCTTTTGTTAGAGTTTTAATAACCACTATAATAGAACTGTAGGTTAAACCCCTGGCAAGGATGTACTAAAAACCAGTAACTTTAGTTCTACTGAAATTTCCTGGGGGCCCGAAAACCTGAATAACCTCCATCTGAATCTGATAGGTCCAACACCAGTATAATACGAGGTTCATGTTCATCGTTGTCTGTGGGAACTAACTTCCTCACTTTGGCTCATAACATTACAAAAGCAAAATACATATAGGTCTAGACTAGTCAGAGAATGGGCGTGTATCTTCACTTTGAATAAAAGGTGGGACCAATAAAACAATAATACTTCATTATTTTGTGGCGTTTCCACATGATTTTCTTAAGTAACACTTTAAAAATCTATTCTTACACAGTCAAACAAGGAACAGGAACAAATTTTATATTATGTTATATACGAATGACACTTAATTGTTTTTACTTTAGATATGGAGATGTCTCAAGCTGTTACAAAAAGAAATTAAGCTGATTTTATAATCTAAACATTGCTATATCTTAATTTGATACTGCTATTTACTTGTGCCATATTAAAGTGGCAGGCATATTGTCTTTATTATGAAAATGTTTCATGAAAAAACAGTTGTTAGCAAGTGACCACTACTCACAAGTGACCGTTAGCTCAGTTAAACTTTACAAGTAATATATCCTATTACATGATGATGACTTTAATACAGTTTAAAGATAATTTTAACCAGGATATTTGGATCAGTGAAAAAACTCACTTGTATAGGCCTATCAAAAAAGCATGTTTTTTTTTTTTAATAAAAGCCCCTTCACTCTCTGTCTTCCTTAAAAGGACAAAACACAGAAATGTATCCTTGATTTATATGATAAAGTCTGAATGAGAAGGAAATTTTGTTATGATTCACATAATTATTTTTTAATTTACACTACAATGTTAATGTACGCTGTTACTTTTCCATTTTTCTCTCAAAAATGTCTCATCTTCTTCACTGTAGAATTATTTATACATTCTTTATATTTGATCAGATTGATAACAATATTTAAAGATGATACTTATGATTATGATACATGATGGTATATTTAGTAACTTGATCTTTCTTACTAGTGTTGTTGTAACATTACTGTAGTATTCATTCCCCAGTGAAAATTTGTTACTCTACAGGACTGTACTTCCAGTTGGAAAATAGTAAAATTCAAATATTCATGTATTGTATGTAAATGTAATTATTGATAAAATAAATGTATTTTATGTCTAACTTAGTCATTGCATAGCATCTTGTTTATTACATGTATTTACATTGCATTTATTACGTATTAGTTCCCTTGTATGTGTTACTTCAATAATTGACCAGGGATGGTTGTTTATTGATAGGCTATTTAATGATCAATATCTTCATAATATGATCAAGTAGGGAAGATCCTGTCAACATACTGTCATGAAGATAAATTGATAGCTAGAAATCGTTTACTAGCTTCATTATTTTGTAGATTTGTTTAGTAATCTAAACCAT